GCTTTAAAGCAAACTTAACTTTGCTGGGCAACTGACACTTTAAAACACTTCTTTATAAACATTTAAACTATGGGAGTCGTTAGTTTGGTCGATGAAATTGGTTTTCAATTAACAAACAATCTATGAAACTTAAACTATTCAAATTTATACAGTTTTAGAAATATTTAGTCGAGAAAATAAGAGGAAATTTGACAACTATCTTAACGGGTCAGCCGCCATCTTTCCTCTAACCGGACATCCTACAGGGAGGAGGCGGGCCATCTCCACCTCTGTATTTAAATAACCATTTTGTTTAACCAGAATACGTGAGATGAAGTAATTTAATCTACCTACGCAAATTGAAATACCAAAAATAAAATTAAAAAACTTACCTTCGTGTTTGGCATGCAACAGGGTAACAAAAAAAAAACCTCCTTCACAACCTTCATAAGACCAGACGACACCGTTCGTTTCGAAATATGATAATCACAGTCATGGCGTCCGGTGACGTCACAGATCGTTTGGACAGTGGAAATGGGAGATGCCCCAATAATCAACGCTCCTTACTCTAAAAGACACATTTATAGTACCTAAGCCTATAAGCTTTCTGACTGAAGCTGTTTTTAAAGATTCTTATCCTCATCTTGTTCTAAGAAGACCTTAGATCCAAGCTTTGTTCTACTTTGGATAAGCATTAACTTTAGTAGGGATAGTGGGAGGCAGTTTGATTCTGTGGTGCGGCCATATTGAAGACTGTAGCCCAATATTTTACTCTCCATTTCTATAAAACCTCACTAGTATTACGACAGGTGATGATAGAAAAACTTAACTAGCTTCATTATGGTATCGTGGCAACCTTATAACATGTCTTTTTGTTTTGGAGATATTCAACGGTTCGGTGACGGCATTTACCGAAGTTTCCACGATCTTCCGACTTTTAATTCAGGTTTGATTTCGAAATCTCTCTGTGTTTATTTTTTAGCATACGTTTAAAAGGTTATATTATAATGCTCTGAGGATTTGTAATTCCGACTTTTAATTCAGGTTTGATTTCGAACTGTCTGTGTTTATTTTTTAGCATACGTTTAAAATGTTATGTTTCAATGCTCTGAGGATTTGAAATTCCGTCTTTTAATTCAGGTTTGATTTCGAACTGTCTGTGTTTATTTTTAGCATACGTTTAAAATGTTGTTTCAATGCTCTGAGGATTTGAAATTCCGTCTTTTAATTCAAGTTTGATTTCAAACACTCTGGGTGTATTTTTTAGTATACGTTTAAAATGTTATGTTTCAATGATCTAAGGGTTTGAAATGCCATATCGAGAGAAAACATCTCTTCATCAAAACTATATAAGTAACGTAAAACTGTTAATAGTCAAAATCATGAAAATATTTCTATAGGTGTCGCATATAGTCTTTCCAGAATTGAAGATTTTGCGGCCTTCGAAAATTAATGAAGCTTTGAAGCAAAAGAAAATATTTTCGTTTTATTTTTTTGGCACATGAATCGAGCACTTCATAATTACAGAATAATTATTTATTTCAAAACAAGTGTTTACAAAACTTACGTTGAACTTACGCCCTAAGTATAAAGCGTGAATATCTTAACGGACATCTCTTTCGCTTCACATCCTGTAAAATAAAACACAACACATGAGGCTACACAGAAGAAACTCACATATCACATAATTATAGAAGCTTTTAAATCGACTTAGATTAAAACAATTACTGATACACAAGTAAAACTGCGCAAGAAAACTTTTACATAGATTTAGTATAAAAATGGTGTTACTAGCAATTATAAAAGCGCAAGAAAACTTTTAAATCCGTTTAATTCTCACACAAATAAAACTGCGCAAGAAAACTTTTACATCGAATTATTAAAAAAATTGTGTTACTAGCAAATATAAAAGCGCAATAAAACTTTTAAATCCGTTTAATTCTCACACAAGTAATACTGCGCAAGAAAACTTTTACATAGATTTAGTATAAAAAGGGGTTACTAGCAAATGTAACAGCGCAAAAAGCTTTTATATATACTTACTATTAAAGCTTGTTTTACTGATTCGCAACTGTAACACATGACTTACCTTTATATGTATATATATATATATATATCTTTTTACAGTTAAAATATCCTATCCTTACAAAGTTTGAAAAGTGATTTTATCTGAGAGAATATATTTCCAAATGTCTATCGTGATTAAGGTTATTGTTCATACACAGCTTAATCAAAATGACATTTTTTTACAAATTGTTACTAAAGAGATGTTGCAACTTACCTGATTAATTCAAAAGTTGAGTCACACATGTATATAAAAATGCCACATTAGTTATTAAGATTATTGTTTACGTGCAGCTTAGAAAAACATACACCAAATTCTTTCTTCATAATAAGGACACAGTTAAATCATCAGGATAAACTTTTAGACCGTAAAGCAAATAGGCATAAGATTAATGGTTTTTGTATTACCGTAACAGTGAAAACAAATTTAGATTTAAACTTTGAAAAACTCGAAGGAAAGATTTCTTTGCCTTTTTTTTTTTATTTACCCTTTTTGTTCATTATGGAACGTAGACACATATTACTAAGTTTAAGTTTTCAACATATCAACTTGCAAATTACTGTGGCTGAAATACTTAATTTTTTACTGTTTGTAACTTGAATAAAATACACTAAAGAACAAAGTGTTTTATCTGCCTTAATAGGGATATATATATATACCTACTGATATGAAACAATGGAATAACTGATATGAAACAATGAAACAAGTGATATGAAACAATGAAATAACTGATATGAAACAATGAAATAACTGACATGAAACAATGAAACAACTAATATGAAACAATGACATAACTGACATGAAACAATGAAACAACTAACATGAAACAATGAAATAACTGATATGAAACAATGAAGCAACTGACACAACATATATTTCTTAAAATGAGCGTTAGGTTTCTGTAAAATCACCAATGCATCTTGGGTCAAAGTTGACGTATTAATGCATGGATTACGTTCACACTCTGTTCAGTTATTCTCAGTTCCTACTATCTTTAGCTACAGTGTTCTGACATAATAAAATGAAGTCTTACCACAAAGTTGACGTATTAATGCATGGATTACGTTCACACTCTGTTCAGTTATTCTCAGTTCCTACTATCTTTAGCTACAGTGTTCTGACATAATAAAATGAAGTATTACCACCTAGTTGACGTTCATGATCTAAAATACAATACAAGCACGAAACTGAGCATAAACTGAACCTAGTGGCTTCAGCGTTTCATGTTGAAAGTGCTCATGTTCAGTTCAGTTATGTATATTACAGGTATGGAAGAATACTCCGAGCAATATCACTGGTTCCAGAGGTGCTCATATTCATATGTCATGACTATGTATAATAATAAATACTTTATCTTGTGTTAAAACAGTTAATTAGTTATACTTCAAACAGAAACCATATGACGCAAAGTTCACGTGTATATCATCTCCATACAGTGTTGCAAAATTTGGTATTGAATTATTTGTGAAACTTATTTCGTTATAGTTGATACTTAGATATAGTTTTTTTAGTAAATGTGAAGTAAAGTAAGCCATGCGACAATTACTTTCCATTATCATCAACTAACGTCAGCCATCAACAAGATATTCAGCCAACAACCTAACCATAAGCATAAATGTTTTAAATTCACAACGATGTTTGCTTCAGTATTTAGGACATTAGAGGATGCAATACGTACTGAACATTTTTATGCTAGTCACAGATGGTATAAACTTATATTAATTATAACTTCATATACATTTTGAATATTAATAATACAACGTTAGAGCACAAAAGCTCAGAGGTCCTGAACTGTTTCTTCAGTTATGCATTCAAGGAACGTCGCTAGGAAACGAACGTACGCCCATGCGTAACCATAACGATTCAAGATGCAAATTTTCTTTGATGTAACATATTAGTCTGATTGTTTTCTTTAAAAAAACAAAACAAATTGAATAAAATGTCGGTGATCAAAATGTAAATCTTTACAATACGTTATGTCGCTTGTGTTGTTAATTTTTTATAGAATATAAACGAAAAAATCATAAGAACGCGTCATATCAGGTTGAAATTTCAAAACTTTCTCGCGGGAGTCCTCTTGGATCCCCACCAGTGGTAAGGGGAGAGTCCCCTCCCACACCTTTCTCTTGTGCGTAACTAAAACTTACACCTAGCTACGCCGCTGCATTTCACTAAACAGGCTAAAATCATAACACAATGTCAGTTATTTTCAGGTCCTAAATGTTGCACTAAGAAAAGCAAGCATGAAATGATGAAATTGCATGCTTAATAAGAATCTATCGACCTGAAATAAAGGCTTTTTAGTTTTTTCGTTTTATTAGTCGAATCTCCTTTTTTTTTCTGTAGTTAGTCGTGATTAAAAGCATGTTTTAGAATAGGGACAGTTTCTAGCGTAGCATCTATAGTTAATGACTCCTTTGGCAACAGGAGAAACTAAATGCCAGACTCAACATCTCTCTATAGAACTTCTTCTTTCGTAACCGTAACACTGTTTATGTGTAATTAAAGTGAATTATATGCCTCTATAAACTATTACATGGTGTACCTTAATTTCAACTGCAATGAACAAAATGGCTCACCGAAAACTTTTATGTTGTCCTTTTATGCTTTTGAATATCAGTTGTTGAGATTGGTCTGTGATTATTATCCTGTGTAATAAAACTGACTTTATATTACTGTAGAACTAGAACTTTCAGTAATCTGTTTTCTCATACAACTCCAGGGACTTTTTAAATGACATAAAATATTATGTACCAAAAATCTGTTTTATTTTCTCACATCTTTACGTTGTCAAAAGTAAATTAATGAATAACGTTCGACATGCCAAAGTTATATTAAAGACAAATAGTTTTCTTGTTTAAATGATTATTTATTCTCACGAGAAAAATCGCGTTTAGCAATCAACTTAATTAACTCACAATACACAAAAGTTTTTTTTGTTAATTTTTTCTTAAAGGCCACCCAATGACAGAGAGTGTAACAAACTTTCGGGAAATATACCAGAGACTAGTTGAAGGTAGGTTTTCTAAACAAGAGAATTCCGTCTATGTCTACTGTGTTTTTAGTAGACAATATTCCTGTGACGTAGGAAAAGCGGTTCATGTGAAGGTTCTCATATGGAAAATACATTTTTCACAAAATTCCCATAAAAATGTTAGTTTTTTTTGTAAATGACGTTAACATGATAGTTTTTGCCGAGAGATGTTTATAAGCAAGGGTCTGTCAAATTATATGTATTTCTAACTCCAAACAATCACAAATGTATCATTATATAACAAAACATACCTCCAACACCTTTCTTATTTCCTGAGACATAGTCTTATTTCTTGAGACACAGTCTTATTTCCTGAGACACAGTCTTATTTCTTGAGACACAGTAGATACGAGGCAAGTTGCTTCATTGAGAATAGGTAAAAGCAAGTAATCTCAACATCCAATCCAGGAAAGCCATAAAACCTGTGCGGAATTCATAAAATTTGAATTTTAAATAAATTATTTTAATACCATAAGTACTTTAATAATTGGATAATTGTAAATGAATGTGTATTGTTATTATTTACTTTCGTCATATTTTTCTAAAAAAAAGATGGTGCAAATTACCAGATAAACGCAAACGACGAGTCACACATGTGTATAAAAAATGCCACATTAGTCTTGAAAAATTCCAGTATTGTGTAGAGTTTTAATATATAATAAAAGATTGATTATCTGATTCAGGATTTAAGGTCACCTAATGTAAGCAAATGAATTAAAAAATAAAAAGTAATATGGACAAAGAGCAAGAAAGAGTCTTTACATAATTAAACCAAAGAGCAAGAAAGAGTTTTTACATAATTAAACCAAAGAGCAAGAAAGGGTCTTTACATAATTAAATCAAAGAGTAAGAGTCTTTACATAATTAAACCAAAGAGCAAGAGTCTTTACATAATTAAACCAAAGAGTAAGAAAGAGTCTTTACATAATTAAATCAGAGAGCAAGAGTCTTTACATAATTAAATCAGAGAGCAAGAAAGAGTCTTTACATAATTAAACCAAAGAGTAAGAAAGAGTCTTTACATAATTAAACCAAAGAGCAAGAGTCTTTACATAATTAAACCAAAGAGTAAGAAAGAGTCTTTACATAATTAAACCAAAGAGTAAGAAAGAGTCTTTACATAATTAAACCAAAGAGCAAGAGTCTTTACATAATTAAACCAAAGAGCAAGAAAGGGTCTTTACATAATCAAACTTCGATAGGGGCTTGCATTGAATAAACTCATGTTACGGGTCAAGGAATTCAACAAAGAGAAAAATTACATAAATATGAGAAGTATAAAAAATACAGGTAAGTTCGTAAAAGTAATGCAGTGAAGTGTTAATAGGGATTTTGTTGTAAATTGAATTATTCCGTATGCGACCGCTTTTCATGCTCCGTTCTTATATACGTTTCACGGGAAATTGAATGTTTAACAATAATTATGTTTAACTTTACAACTTTCTGACAAGTTGTTCTTTGTCAACAAAAAATAGATAATATTGAGCAATTGAAAAAAAAAACTCTGTGAATTAGAGATTAAATATTTGATAAAAAAGTGTTGACTATAAAAATAATTCCCATAAGGCTTTATAGAATTATAATGTTGTATAAATAAAAATTTTTAATGTTTCCTTTATATTTTGTTATCTTTTGTTTGATAAAGTAAGTGTGTTATATGTTTCTCCACTTTTTTAGTCTCATTCAGCTGCGCTTAAATTAAAAGAGTTTTTTTTTGGAGTTAATCTCATCAGTAATAATCAGTTTGATATCCCCTGAAGATTGATGATAAGCAATTAAGACAGACCCTTTCATGTTCTGAAATAACCCGATTCGAACAGCAAAGCAGAAGTGTTTCATGTAAATGTAACTAAACCAAGAATAGACAAGAGAAAATCCGAACTGAGAAATAACTTTCAAGTTTTTAGTTGAAATTCTGTCTTTCTCTCTATCTTTATTGTTAAGTCCATTTAAAAAAAAAACACTTAATATATTTATGGTTACAGGTTTTCTCAAGGTAAGTTTAAAAATAAACTGTAAACTTTTTTCACTGGAGGCATATCTATCCTTCTGTTAGGTGCCAATGGACTTCGTCGTAGAGGTCGGCAAACTTACACCCGTTACCAAACTTTGGAGCTAGAAAAGGAGTTCCATACTAACCACTACCTTACTCGGCGTCGAAGGATTGAAATGGCCCATGCTCTGTGTCTTACCGAGCGGCAAATCAAGATCTGGTTCCAGAATAGAAGGATGAAACTGAAGAAGGAAATCCAAGCAATAAAAGAGCTGAATGAACAAGAACGACAAACACAGATAAGTAAGAACCAATCCCAACCGAACACACAGCAGTCTCAACAACCGTCAAGTTCATCTCCTTCAGAAGCAACGGGGTGCAGCTCCTCACCAGGAAAAACGTAAGATTTTTCCAATTCTGTTGATTCCTCCTGCATGAGGGTCTTCGGGCGGATACGTGGAGATTCCATGTTTGGTCTTACTTAACTTCGTTACTTTAAGGTGCACGATATTGATGAAATCAGAATTAAAACCAGTTAGATTTACAATTTCAAGAAAAAAAAAAAAACAATCGTGAAACCGACATTAAAAACAAAATACACTAATTTCGTTTGAGGATCACATGAAAGTTGTTTCAGTTGAACTAGTTTTCCAGATCCCCGATAAAAAAAAAGCATTAAAATTACTAACACTTTATTTGTACCAAACTGACATAAATGGTGTACAACACCCATCATGATGGAATGCTTGAACTTCGCCCAAGAAGGGTGATACGACTGAGATTTCAGCTAAAAGTATACGTACCTAAGGCGGGTTCTATAATATTTACTGTTCTGTTGTAGAAAGCGTTTTTATTTTATCCCCGTTTTTCAAAACGTGTTGTAAACAATGCTGTGAATGTATTTGTTAGGGTTAGTTGTTCTATGTTTTGTATTCATGATTTATGACGATGTATTTCCCATCATTAGAAACATGTATAAGAAAAAAGTTGATATTTTTTTGGTGGTAGAGCAGAATGTTTCAACCAGGTTACGGAAAAAAGTAGACGGTCAGTAATTTCACCCCCCAGCTACTTTTTTCTTCTCTGCTGATTTGTTTGAAAATACGTTTCCTTCCTGTAAGTATTTATAAGTATTAACTCATAAAATCATTGACTTTCTTGTGGATTAGAAAATGAGCAAGCCTTAGGCATCTTTGATATACGTAAACAAAACTGTATCCAAAACGGGAAGTCAAGAAAATTTTCAGTAGCCCGTCTTCTTGTTAAGCCTAAACAGAGAAAATGTTCTCTCTAACGTAGTACGAAGTATCCTTCTGATGTACGAATTTTATAAGGCAGCTTGTACAGTAGCGTACCATTTTCAGTTTCACGTCAAAAGCTGAACCATTCCATAAAAAGTTGGCCATGGATTTTATTAGAACCGTTTTTATTTCGGTTGTTACCAACGCTACAAGTAATCATTTTAATAGATATAAGATTTCAAACAAAGTAGATTCGAATGAATTTTTTGGAATGTGATAACAGTAACCAAACTGGTTATGAATCACACGTAACATAAGAACAACAAACAAACTATTTTCTCTATTTCTTGTGTTCTCCCTTTAGAAGTAGACTTCTACTACCTGATATATATATCATACCCTACAACAGCGGTTTATTTCTCTCGCCCTCGTTGTAATTGTTGCTGTTTATGTAAGTATATGTTGTGATATGTGATGGGAAAATATAGAAAAAAATATTTGTCTTCAGGAAGCCTCTTTGTCCTGTTTTATTAATACCTGTTGCTACTTTTCATAATGTGTAGAAGCACCAAAGTTTTATCTCAGAGAAAGCTTGTTTGATCTTAACTTTTATTTTTTCACGAATCACTAGGGTAAAAAACACAAACAGTTGAAAATATCTTACCATTGAAAAAAGAAAAAAAAATATCATGTCTTGAAAGTCGTGTTGAATGGAACATTATTCTTCTGTCCTAAAATAACTTAGAAAAAAAAAGAATAAGTATATATATATATAATATCTTATGGATAAACTTATTCTATATCTCAGAATCATTGTCGGAAAAGAACAAAAAGCTATCTATACTCATATTCTTGTTTATCATTCTCTTAACGTTGATGCAAAGTCGTAAAAGTAGTGCAAATACATCTGAAAAAATCCTTTATACTTATATACATATATATTCAAGTGGGGGGGGGGTATTTATTGATGTTACATAATGATTATTCTCATTCGGCCTTTTTATACTGTCGTGACGATCTTTGCGTCCAATTCGAGATACAACAAAAATACGGCGTTTCTTCTAAGTACAGAACCTTACTCGTGGATGCTTAGAATTTATGACAAAAACTATCTACAGGAAAAACTTTTTCGGCTTTTGTTTTTACGCTTTCATTCATAATTTTCTAAGCCAGTTAATCTCAACTTCACATCGTAAAATAATCTTGTTTATTTTTTATTTTCTACACACCCTAAATATTTATCTTACTAGGAGTTCAATAATGAAAAAAAAATGACAAAACCGAAGCGTTCAATACATTAAGAGCCAATGAAATGCCCAAGTAGTCCTCATTATTATTATTATGTTTAATGGGTTAAATCAAAATTAAAAGACAGACGCACTCGTCACTGATTCTATAAAAGAGGGACAACATCATTTCCTTACGTTTATACGTAATTTTTTTCTCTAATTATTGCTTTATTTTAGATCATTGATAATTTTGAATTATTCTATTGATTTAAATATGCATTCCTATTTCACAAATCATAAATCCAGCCAATAGAAACAGCAGTCAAAGTATGTAAGTCAGTTTAGAAGAATATCCCTTTTCTGGATCAAAAGCAAACCGCAGATAATTTTGTCGGTCTTAAAAAATATCAATATTTTCTTATTTAAAATGAATTTACTTACCCTTACATATCAGAACTTAATTAACCAAAGATGATCGAAAATACTCTTTTTAGATCATAAAATGGTCATTAAAAAAGTGTTTTAAACATGGAAAGCACACACTTCTCGAACAAAGTTTTTATTTTCAACATTGCCCAATACAATACAATTCGTGGTTAAAAGTATGTATTGATAACGACTTACTAACCATTATTCGTGGTTAAAAGTATGTATTGATAACGACTTACTAACCATTATTCGTGGTTAAAAGTATGTATTGATAACGACTTACTAACAACTGCGTACATTTTGAACATAAATATTGTTTTTCTAAGATCAAACGAATGCTAATAATTTATAGGAAAAAAACTTTAAAAAATCATTAACGCTTTTTAATGTGTTGTATTTAGTAAGACATACCGATAGTCAATGAAGTATTTTAGAAATTAGCTGAAGTCGGTTATTCTTACTTACGTGCTAATAAAACCGATTATATGGTACTATCCAAAGTAAAAATATCGCAATACTTGTAATTTTATGGCAAAAACGGTGATACATTTACTTTATCGAATGAAATATCACACAACATAATAGGCTTACAAAACAAGACTGATTTACTTTATCGAATGAAATATCACACACCATAATAGGCTTACAAAACAAGACTGATTTACTTTATCGAATGAAATATCACACACCATAATAGGCTTACAAAACAAGACTGATTTACTTTATCGAATGAAATATCACACACCATAATAGGCTTACAAAACAACACTGATTTACTTTATCGAATGAAATATCACACACCATAATAGGCTTACAAAACAACACTGATTGACTTTATCGAATGAAATATCACACACCATAATAGGCACTTACAAAACAAGACTGATTATTAAACAAAGTGTTAAAACAAGACTTATTGTTAAACAAAGGGTTACAGATAAAGTAAGATCTAAACACATTCTAAGTACTTTTATTTGTAAAAAAAAAATGTCCGCTTAATTAATCGTAAGTCAAACAATGTAGAAATAAAGAGCACGAATTCTTTCCTTTTGTTATCTAAAACAATTTAAAACAACTTTGTTACACGTATATCACTGGTAAATAATGTTTCGTTGTTTGGGCAACATTATACCACAGTATTTAACACCTTTTATTTGTGATCTCAATGATTTCTTTTCAGGTTACCGGTTTGTTTTTGTATGTGTGTATATCATGTCGAACACCCTTTTTTATACCTTTATTCTAATGTTTGAAAACCAGTACCTTATGATACCGTAAATAATATAACTATTTTGTTCTTTAATGAAAAGTCTAAGCTCATTGATAAGGTGCGTCTTCAACAAATTTATATATATATATATATATGCGCGTGCGTTTTAAGTCTACATGGTAATTTAAAATTATAACAAAGTCGATTTTTCTATTTTGTCACAGACAAAAAAAAAAACAACAAAAAAAAACAGCAACAAGTGTATTGGTATGTACCGAATAGAAACTCCGGCTACACTCACAAAATATTAACGCACTGTGTTCTGTATGTTGAACACAAGTCCGAACTGGTGTATATGTTGAATACAAATCCGAAAAATTAGGGTTAAATCTGAAATACAATGTGTTTATAAAGAAACCTCGTATTTAGAAATAGTTTTCTTAAAAACTACTTATCCCAGGGGAACTGTCCCCCAATGGCTCAGATAGCCCATTGTGTAGCTTTGCGCTTAACTACAAGCAAACCAAACCTAGGGGAAATAAACTTCAATAGTGACGCAATGAGAATGCTAAGTTCAGAATATTTCAAACATCTGGCACAGTACAAAATCTTTCAGATATTTAGGAAAGTATAGAATATTTCAAACATTTAGGAAAGTATAGAATATTTCAAATATTTAGGAAAGTATAGAATATTTCAAACATTTAGGAAAGTATAGAATATTTCAAACATTTAGGAAAGTATAGAATATTCCAAATATTTAGGAAAGTATAGATTATTTCAGATATTTAGGAAAGTATAGAATATTTCAAACATTTAGAAAGTATAGAATATTTCAAATATTTAGGAAAGTATAGAATATTTCAAATATTTAGGAAAGTATAGAGTATTTCAAATATTTAGGAAAGTATAGAATCTTTCAAATATTTAGGAAAGTATAGAGTATTTCAAATATTTAGGAAAGTATAGAATCTTTCAAATATTTAGGAAAGTATAGAATATTTCAAATATTTAGGAAAGTATAGAATATTTCAAATGATTAGGAAAGTATAGAATATTTCAAACATTTAGGAAAGAATAGAATATTTCAAATATTTAGGAAAGTATAGAATATTTCAAACATTTAGGAAAGTTTAGAATATTTCAAATATTTAGGAAAGTATAGAATATTTCAAACATTTAGGAAAGTTTAGAATATTTCAAACATTTTCATAAGAAGATGTACGATATGTTTTTAACCATTCTTAATGAATATCTACAGCTATTGCAAACACCATCTGTTCTGGACATAAATAATTTATCCTCGCAATATCCTATACAGTGACACGTGTTTTATTCAGCTCACCAATATCCTATACAGTGACACGTGTTTTATTCAGCTCACCAATATCCTATACAGTGACACGTGTTTTATTCAGCTCACCAATATCCTATACAGTGACACGTGTTTTATTCAGCTCACCAATATCCTATACAGTGACACGTGTTTTATTCAGCTCACCAATATCCTATACAGTGACACGTGTTTTATTCAGCTCACCAATATCCTATACAGTGACAC